TACCTGCTATAAGTATTAATAAAAAGCTCGGACCAAAGAGGTCACCTTAATACTGAAAAAAAAAATAAATAAATAAAAACAAATTATTTATTACTTTTTTAATAAACAAAATTTTGTGCAAACAGATTTATAATTGTTTAAATATACAATAACATTATTTAATAAAATTAGTATTTTAGTATTTACAATTTAAGAATATTATTACTGATAATTATACAAAAGTATTAAATATTTTTTAAATAATATCAAACTAAAACCAAACTTTTGTCCTAATAATTACAATGTCAATTATCAACTTTAGTAAGACTAAATTTAATATAACAAACAGTTATATTAGGAATTTATCTTTTCTTAGACTTAATCATTTTTGGTGTTTTTCATTATCTGAGCAATGAAAAATCTCTGAAATGCACAAGTCTAAAAACTCTAGCATTAGTTCCATTAAATTTATGCTATTTTTACTGTTTAAAGTTAAAATTGTAGTAATTAGAAACTACAGTAACTTATTATTATTGGTGTAATAGAATATTTTGTTTTTGTTTTTCATGTTTTTGAACCATTTCTATGAAAATGCATATAGGTTTTACACTTTTTTTAATTGAATGCTTATGTAATAAAAAATAAAACTTGCCTATCTTACAAAATTTGCCAGAAAGGTCTCTCACTTTACTAAGATAATTATATTAATTAATTAAATATATCAATGTTAATTAAATATATTAGTATCAATTTTATATATACTGCATATAACTATTATTCTAACAGTTATATTTTACTTTTTTATTATTATTATACCTATTATTGTTGTTATTATTATTACTATTAATAATGCAGATTTGTGTAATTACATGAAATCATTAGATAAATTATTTTTAGATCTATAAATTTTTAATAAAAAAATTTTTTTAAAAAAAATACTTCAATTTATTCAAATTTAAAGTCTAATGATTAATTAAATAAGATTTCTAATCAAATTAATATGTAAAATTTTGAGGAGATACAATTTGAAATTTAACATTTTCTAATTAACAGACTATTAAATTTCAAATTATATCTCCTTAAAATTTTACATATTAATTTGACTAGAAATCTTATCTAACTATTGAACTTTAAATTTGAATAAATTGAAACATTTTTTTAAGTACTACAAAAAAATTATTAATAAACATAATGAAATTTTATCAAAATCTTAATATTTTAATATAAGTTGGCATATATATTACACAAAAAATTACATTAATTAATTTTTATAAGACTATACTAGTAATACAAGCCAGTCCTAGCCCAACAGCTAGGTCAATAGGCAGGTTAACCCTTAGCTTATATCTTTGTAGGGCAGGTGGGCTAAAATAAGACAAAAATTTTTTTAACCAATCATAATGCTGCAAAATCATATATAAATCAATTATTAATATAACAATATCTCAAAAATTTTATTGTTTAAGCAAAGAAAATTTCTCAAAATTGAATAAACTCTAGGCATTTCAAATTGAGATAATATATAATATCTAATTTTTGCATAATGTAATTGTATATAAAAAATGTAATTAAAAATAAAGATCAATTCTTATTATTGTTATATCAAATTAATTTAGATATATATATTCATTATTTTAACTATATATACTATTACTTCAAAATAATTTCTAACTTCATAACAATAATTTATTTTTATTTTTTTTTTCACTTTGGCAGTCTTGCTGATACTCTTTATTAAGATTCTTGTTTATATATTAACAAACATTTTTAGACTTAATGTTCTGAGTCAACATCTCACAATTACTTCTATGAGCACTTACAAGTGATCTGCCACACCAGTTGCCTAATTTCTAAAGAAAAAAAGAGATCTGAGAGGCTCATCTAACCACTGCCCTACAATAGAGTATTACCAATCTGATAACACTTTTTTGTAAAGAAGTGAAAGAAGAAAAAAAAAACACTAAACTAAACTAAACTAAAAAGGAATACAAGAAGAAAAAAAGAAAAGAAAAAAAAAGTATCAGGGAGCACACCTTATTTATAACCATTTAGGATACTAGCACTTTAAACCTGTACTAAGGATCTAACTACACTTTAACCTGTGCTAAAAGGGTAAAAATTATATATATATAATTTTAGGAATTACTATATATCTCTAATTTGCTATAATCCTCTAACTTAAATCCTTTTTCATTTCTTCATTATACCATATATTAGGCTGTACACATGATTGTTGTGTTTCTATTACATCATGTTACAACATGTAACTGTCTAAAAAAGGAAGTGATAAACAATGCCGATCTTTTGTAAGAGGGGAGCCAATTTTCTCACTTTTGAGTAGAAAAACAAAATAGGTAAAGAAGGTCAACAGATGTAATATGCGAAAAGCCAAACCAAAAAGAGTGTTTCTAGTTATTTGTTTGTTTTTAAGCTTTTGATAACCTTTAACCAGAGTTTTTCTCTATTGTTTCCAGAATGTCCTTCTGGTTTGAGTACTAAACGTGTTAGGGAGTCTACTAACAGACAAGGCTTGACTTCAACACAAACCACCAGAAGAGTTGCCCACACATCAGTTTTTCTAGTTCATTAGCAACAATCTGCTTTATATATCTAAACAGAATCAAAGATATCATCATCTTAAAAGCATAACTCTTCAAACTATTTGGTGCTAGTTTGGTTTAAGTGATCATTGAGAAGAGTCTTGAATATGAATTATGATAACAATAATTTATTAATTTGTGACTAAAATTTAATTTTAACTATACTTTATAAACTTGTGTATAACAAGTTTACATTATCAAAAAAGAGTTTTTTTTGTATTGTTTATAATACAATTATGTATTATCTAAAACTGGCAATTTAATATTTATCTTTTTAAATTTTTTGCCAAAAAAATTTTCTTATAAAAAATGTAGATTAAATAAATTTATTATGCTGTATCTTTTATTTTATAAATGATTACAAAAAAACATTACACCTATTCACAAACAAACAATAATCAAATCTGCACTACTTCTAGTTTTCAAGAATTATTAAATAAAGATAATATTGAATTGTTTGAAACACATTCCAAAAAGTTACAAAAAACTAATCAATCTTAATAAGATTTTTTGACTAATAGTGATGAATTTTTAAAAGAATTAATGATTCAAGAATCTGATAATATTAAGACTTTAATGTTATTTAATTCTTCATTACAACACCAATATAAAACACAAAATATAACTAATAAAAATAAAAATTGCAAACAAGTTATTCTTGATTAAGTCCTTAAAGTTTCTGATATTAATATATTATCAACTAATATAGTTAAGTCTAATAATTCAAAAGATAGTTGAATTTGAAGTTATATGTGAAAAGATAAATCAAGCAATAAAGTTGTATATGAAATAATTACAGCTAGTTTAGATAGACATAAAAAAAAATGTGATAAAACTTATAGTATTTTAATTTTAATCATATATCTTGATGAACATCTTAACACCATTCATTAAATTTTTCTTTTTAAAAAATATAATAAAAATTTAAAAGGTCAAACTATAGTTAGATCAGATAATTTAGTTAAAACTATACTTTTCATGCTTTCAAAAATAGACTTTCATAAACTAACAAAGCAAAAATGATTAATATTTCATTTAATAGTATAAATAGTTGAAGACTATCAACTTTTAACAGCTATAGAAAGACACAAATTTTATCAATTTTGTTATAAAATGGACTCAGTTTCAAGTTCCTAAAACTGTATTAATTAAAACTAAAATACAAAAAACAGATATTTTTGCTAAAAAACAGTTATGTAATTTAATATTAAATACAATAGAGACATTTTTTTTTACAACTAATATGTAGAAAAGTATATATCATCCTTACATTGATGTAACAATTTACTGGCTTTTCAAAGACTTTGATTTATATTAAGCAATTTTAATTATACAAGAATTTCCTTATCCACATTTAGGAGAACAGCAAGAAAATTTTTTATCAAAATTGTTTAATTATTAGAACATATATAATAAATTAATTAGAGAAACAACAGATAATGATAAATCAATTGTTAAAGGAATATGGCTTCTTAATATATCTTACATATGTTGTATTGCTTATACAATTCAACTAGCAATTAAGGATAGACTTAATGCATACAATAATCTTTTAATTAAAACTAAAGATTTAAACAATTAGTTAGTAAAAAGAGATAGATATTAGCAAAATCTCTGCATTATTCAAAATGAACTTATCCAATCTACAGTTAATATTTTTGATGATAAATGGCCATTGTTAGAAGATAAAACTTTAAAAAAATTTGAGAATTTATTTGAGTTATTACAACAAATGTTTAATACAGAATCTTTACTATCTATATCAAATCTATCATCTATATTAAGTCTATCATCTATATCAAATCTATTGCAAAAAAATCAAAAAATAGTAAAGCCTATTTGTAATGTAAAGACCAGGTAGAACTTCATTTACTCAGTTCTAAAAAGATTAGTTCAATTACATGATGCTACTGAGTAATTTGCAAAATCATTATGTTGATATTCTGAAATATAACAAAGAAAATATAGTTAAAGTTTATCTAATAAATTACTTTTAGAAAATGAACAAAAAGAATTAGAAGAGTTAATAGCACTTTTAGAACTCTTTGCACAAATGACAGAATTAATTAAAGGATCATATTATTTAATACTAAGTATAATGCTACCTATTATTTCACATTTATTTGTTCATTTAAAAAAATAAAATTGGTACTTGTTTTATATAATATTTTAGATGTTTGTTATCAAATTGAGGATTCTATACCTACTCATTAGAAAGATCCTCCAATAGAGTGTTATATTTCTTCTTATCTAGATCTTAGATTTAAAAATATGAATTTTATTAGTAAAAAAAAAAAGATTATATTCAACCAAATTATTAAAAATGATTGAAATGACAACTAATGTGATTGATATTTTAATACAAACAGAAATGAATTATTTTTTTGATGAAGAGATTCAAGTAGAGCATTTAATGAATGATGAATTAGAACACTATGAAACTATTACACAAATAAATAAATATCAAATTAATTATCTACTTTACAAATCTCATAATCCTCTTTTATAGTGATGTACAAATAAATATGACTTTCCAAATCTAGCAAAAGTGACACAAAAATTACTCTCATTTCCAGCAACTTTAGTACTCTCAGAATGTTTATTTTCAAATGCTAGTAATATTCTTACAAACAAACAGAATCAGTTAAATTCAAGTACTATTTATGATATATTATTCTTAAAAACTAATTTCAAATTATTTAATATTTATCCTAGATTAGAATAAAAAAATTATTAAAAATATATAGATATATTACATAGTTCAATAATATTTTAATTAATATTACTTATTTGTTAGTTAATTTTAGTGAATATTTTTATATATAGTTACATTTATAAGATAAATCTAAACATACACAAAATGTATCTATATACTAAGATTTTAACATTAAAGAATAGATCAGGAAAAACTATTTTTAATTAACTTTTGTACAAGTTTAATGTAGGAATAATCATAAATAGCTTTTATAAATAAATTAAAAAAATAAAATGAGTTTTTATATCAGGCCTACTGAAAAATTAATTGCAATCAATTTTATGATAATTTTAATTGATTGCAATTATATATACATGTAATAAAATTAATTGAAACCCAATTATTGATAAAATAATTGCAATTAATTGCAATTAAATTTAATTTTCACTATACTCCTGTATACAATATATTGTATAATATGATTTTTTGAGTATTTTATATCATATACTGTAATTGTATAAATAATACTTTAAATTAATCAAATTGTTTGTTATATATTGTTGTGCTAAACTAAAAATTAATAATATCAATATAACAAGAGTTAGTTAACTTGTATAAAACATGCATCTGGATTCATTTTATTTGGTTTTAGTAAAACCTATTATTTAATTTGATTAACATCTTGAATGAATCACATTTTGTTATTCATTCTTAAAAGCAAAAAATTTAATCATATGCAGATCAAAAGACTTTCTCCAATCTGTATAATAGTATTTAACAATTAAAAACAACCATTCTACAGCATTGGATGTAGAAGGTACAATATTCATATCCAAGTATTTTGATTCATCTAGTTTGTGTTTTTTTTGCAACTCATTCTTTTATAGTCATAAGTTCTTTTATTACTGATTGTATATTTTGTTTTATAATAAATGCTTAAAGCTTTTGTTTCTCAGTAAACATTAATATAGCTTTTTGCTTGTATAAGACTTTAACCATGGCTATCTCAATAAGAGAATTATAGATAATTGATGCATTTTTTCCTAATCTATTTTTCAATTCTGAATATTCTTCAATCAACAAATCAAAATAAGCATACACATTATCAAGATTCATAGATTTATTTTGCAAATCATTGATTGCTTCAGAAAAGTATTTGAGATAATTAATAAAATCATCAACTTCTTTTAAATTTAATCATTCTATTAGTAAAATTTTTCAACCTAAAAAAAAAAATATACTGTATATCTGTGAAATAATACAATAATGCACAAGTGGATATTTTAAATTTTGGTCTAAATTTGTGCTAAAATTCAAAATATTACCTCTATATATTATTTCACAGATATATGGTAAATAAAAATAAAAATTAAATATAAAAAAAAAATTATAAAAAATTATATATATTTATATTTATATATATATATTTAAAAATCTATTAGCTTAAGTAATATAAAGAATAAGTTCTTTATACTATTTAACCATTTTTAACACACTTATCTAATAGGTTGCATTATCTAATTTAGGTCTCAAATATGTTACTTTTGCAAGCTTTCTATGATTTTTATAAGATCTCATCATAATTACAATTGTGCAGATTTGATCTACAAAAGTAGATAAAAAACTAATAAGATCTTTTACTGCTAAATTCAAATGATATGATGCACATTCTACGAGTAGATAATCTAAGTCAGTGACTATATTTTTATTAGTAATGCAAATTATCTTCTGAAACAAATAGGATATTATTAACACTCTTATCATATGATTCTAAAACATCCTCAAAAAACTTGATATATGCATTTGTACTCTAAGTAGTGCAATCTTCAAATAGAGAAAATACTAATAAACCTAATTTTCTTGCTTCATACATAGTTTGATAAACACCAAACAATCCCACAAAATGAATTCCATTACTTGTCCATCTATCAAATATAATCACTAATTTTTTAGATAAAGTATTTTTGATTCTCTTTCATACAAGATCTGCTATGCCATTAAAATACTTGCTAATTGTAAAAATATCCACTTTTGAAAGACCTGTATGTATGATAAAATTATGATTTTTACATGCATTAAAAGGTATTCAACATTTTACAATAAGGCTTAGTCAGTTGAAAATGTTATGCATACTTGTGCTATAACTAGAAATATCAATGCTTGCTATTGAAGAGATATTAGATTTGGTACATTGCTAATAAATTCACTTAAAATTTTCATATTTTGCATCTAGATAATTCATTAGGTTTGTATAACCAGTTCTTTTGTTTTGGGTTATTAATTGTAATCTGAGAGGATACAAATTACATTGACACTTAATATCATTTGTAGAGCTAAAAAAACATCAATATAAACCTTGTTTGAAAATTTCATATTCATTGAAACTAATATAATAATGAGAGAACTATATTTTGTTGTGCATATTTTTAAAAGCTTTGAAATTTTTTTATGTAATATAAATTTAATTACTGTACTGTCTTAAAAATAATGCCTCACTGCGTTATTTTGAGACAATGAATAAATTAATAAATTTTACATAATAAATTAATAAAATTCTTCTTTTAACAGTGCATATGTATATGACATATTAATTATATAATTTTACAAAAATTGCAATTAATTGACTAATTGTGGCTATACCATCAATTAATTAATTGAGCTCAAAAAATTGCAATTAATTGCCTCTACAATCAATTATTCAGTAGGCCTGTTTTATATATTAATCTTAAGAATTAATTAATAAAAATAATATTTTATAAATAGTCAACCTGATCGACTGACCAAAGCTTTTTTAATATTGGCCCCAGCCTGTAAATTTTTTATCGACCTAATTTGAACATGGATTATAAAACTGGCCAGAATTATGAAATTGCACTGCGCAGCCTCAAAAAATGCATGCGCAGTGTCTCATCTCTAGTTTTAACTCATATTTCATGCAAAATACAAGTATCTCATATGTAGAAACACTACATTATAGTAAAGTCATGCTTGAAAAAAAACAATTCACTGTAACTTATATTGAAAGAATACTAAATATACTTTACAAACTTTTTATTATATTAAGAGTTTACTATAATAAAAGTGGGTCATATTTGGACAGACATGTTCTTTTTGTTCTATAAATTTTGTGTATAATTCATAACTCTACAGTCTTTTATAGCTTTTATCAAATTTTTAATTTGCTACATAATTGTATATTTGTTTATAAATCCAATTAAAATTGAAGCTTAATACTTTATATTGATCCCCTGAACATAACGGGCATGAAATTTTAAGTTTGTATTAATTGAGTTTTTTCAAAACTCTACAATATTTTATAGCTTCTATCAAATTATGTATTTATATTAATTTGTTTTATGAATGCAGATTCTTTAATAAATCCAATTATAACCAAAGCTTACTATAATTAACTTTTTTTAAAAATAATTCAAAAAGTGTGGATTTGTATATTCAATAATTGTACAATATAATTTAAATTTAACAGTTAATTTTAGTAACTAAGTTTACATTTAGAATTTGTTTAATGATTTATTCTGGACTAGTAGTTTGGTTTTATCTCTTAAATAATAATTATGAAAGCTTTCCTTTACTATATTGACTTGTAATTACATGCCTGGACGTTATTTTGAAGCACACAATTTCAGAGAATTAATAATTAATTTTGACAAATACAACTGATAATTTATTTTTTAAAAAAATCGCTAAAATTAATTCTTAACGACCAAATAGTTGTTTTGTAGCAATACGGTGGTGCACAGAATAATAATAATGATAAAGGATTAGTAAACCAGTTTTCTGGAGAATCGTAAAGTTGGAGATCATGTGACTGCACCTTCGATTTTTGGGCAATGTGATGATCGGTATTTTGTTTTGATTTACATGTCGTAATCCCTAATACAATCAACCAATAGAATGCATTGTTTATCTGATGATAGACATAATACAATACGTATATATATACTAATTTTTCTTAATTTTTTTTTTCACTTAACTTTTTTGTTTATGTACCATCGCACCTTTGCATAGGTTTGATTGTTTCGATAGTTCCGGTCTGACCGGGTGAATTATTGATCGGTCGTCCTATGTAATTACACTTTAACTTCTTGTTTGTTAAGTATCCTCTTTTACTTTACAAACTACCCCTTAAAGACCTTTTTCTTTATACTTGATTTTTAAACTTTGCGATTAAATTTTTCGAGCGATGTACTCCTTCCAATACAGATAGGGCCTCTGAACTTAGTAGTTTAAACTAAGCTCTAAGTTTCCCTACTAAGTTCATGCATAAAATTTCTTGAGGAGGTTCTTGGAAAGCCGCCAAATATCGCAAAATTTCCCTTTTTTACGCCTGTTTTCGACATATTATTTTCGAAATTAGTAGAGTTATTTCGTAATAAGATATAATGCGAAAGGTTTGTGTAATATAGTCTAGTCTCATAGATCGTAGACCCAACGATCTAAGAGATGATGATGATACATTTTACACTACTGTGATATAGTCTAGTCTTTTGGATTGTGGGTCGACAATCTAAGAGATAATGATGGCACATTTCACACTTAGTAGCATTAATTTCTTTTACAATTATCTCTCTTTGTTTACCATTGATTCGCTATCAGAGGCCAAAAAATGCGAATCACTTTGTCGATAATGGTACATTATCGGTATCGTATTTTATCATTTTCAAAAAATAAATGAATTAAAAAAAATAATCGAATACTCTTTTTAAAATCGTTTATTTTTCTTAACCCTTTCATTGTAAACTTAGATTTTTTTTAAATTAATATTCCTAATTTAAACTCCTTTTGGGTCACAGATGCAAACCTCCTCGTGGTGTGGCCTGGACATTGAACTGTTCAATGACTAACTTGCATCGATAACCGGTAGTGCTACACGATTAAAAAATATAAGTCTTAAATTTTTATTTATTTTTTTTTTGTTTACAGTAAATCGGTTTTTTTTTATACTAACTTTTGCTTGTGTTTTAGTGTTACGTTTCGTTTTCGTCGTTGATAGTTTCGCCATTGTTATTGATATTTCACTTCGACACTTCGCTTTGACACTTAGTCGTTTGCTGGTATTTTATTGTGGTGAGTTTTTTTTTTTTTTTGCTTTTATTAGTTTCATGTTGTATGCGGATGTTGTTTATTAATATTATCGTCGATTGTTGATATTGTCGTTTAGTGGCGTTGTTATTGGTGTTTCGCTCTTGCTATTTCGTTGTTCGCCTATTTAACGTCGTAAATTATTGGTGGTATGTGGTTTTTTTTGCTTTTACTGTTTACTTTTAGTGCTTCTGGATACTAATATTTTCTGGCGTCATCGTTAGTTTTTTTCGATGTTTGGTGTTTTCGGCTTTGTTATCGTTGGATTTTCTTTTTTTTTTTGAGTTTGGCATATATTTAGTAGTCGATATGCAAAATTCTTTAGGTTATTTATTATATGACAATGTTAAATAAATTGCGAATTTAAAATATATAAATAGAATATATATGCTTTCAAATTTAAATTTTTATAAGAATTTTTCAATTTTGGAAAAATGTTAAAGTCAGGTTCGGATTAAAGTTTTTGATGCAATTAGTGTTACTACGTATAACTACCGTCATAATTATTGAATTACATGTTAAGAAATAGTCATTACGGTTTGCGGTTTTTATGCTGTTGAAAAATTAATTCGAACCTTTACCGTTTATTAGGTTATATCAAATTCTACTATAAAATGAAGTAACCGGATGTATTTTGTTCAAGATCGCCTTATTACATTAACTTTTATTACTAGCTATTTAATTTGAATATGAATAAGCTTATAATGAAAGAATATCCAGGTTTAATATCTGAATATGTTCGATTCTTGCAACGCATGTTGTATATTTCAAGGTTGCGTTTCGGATGAGCATGTGACAGTCCAGATATCTCCGGAATTTGTAAATTTTTAATAGATTCGTTAATGTATACTTCAATTACTTCAATTACTGAAGAATGTATACTTAAAATTATAACATTAATTTGTTTATTTCGGCATTATTTTTATGTCTTTTCCTTTTTGCTTGCACTCTTAATAACTGGGACAATGTTTTCCTGAGATGTCTTATACTTTGCTCACTTCTCATAGGCAGAAGTTTGTCTAATTTGCTAGTGCAAATAAATTGCCCGGGTAACTAATTTATACGTTTATAGTACTTTTTAAGAACGTAATATTACACAAGTGAACAGTCGCTCAAACGTCGTTTCTAATATCAAATATAAATTAGGCACGTACGTACATCGCGTAAATCAATTGTAAAATGATTTATTCTTATAGCACAAAAATGCAAAAAATATAACTTTTTAGTACTCATTAAATTTAAGGAGCGAAAAGTCGTACTATTAAAAACATCGATTGTTCTCACAGTAGAATAACAATTTTATTCTTTATGTATTTTTTCAAAATTTCTAAATTTGGATATCTAGAACTTTTTTAAATACTTATAGAAATTTTTTATTTTATTTTTTTTTAAACACGATGAAGATCCAACCATTCTTCATTTTAGAAAGTATAAAAATAATGCTTTTCGAAGTCATTAAAACGGTACAAAAATATTAATAAAATATAAAATGTAAGTTTCATTGTTATTTGTTTATATTGACCTCATTCAAAATCCGAGCCGTAACCGCATATGCCTGTTTAGTATTTACAGAAAACCATGTATGTTGTCACTATTTTGGGTAAAGCTTGAAAAGCTGCCCTAATATAAAAAATGATTATATTGGCTCTTGCTTAAAATATTAGAATTCAAACTATTGAATCAAAGATTACAAGTTCCAGAAACACAATCCCACTTTCAACTTATCGACGACAATGGTGTTTTTTTTTTGTAAAATTTTTTATAAAATTTTATTTCTATTATCTTAAATAGTTCAGGTATGGTTTGCTTGAGTATAATGTTAGGTTCATAAGGTACACCAGATGGTTCATTTTTGACAATAAATAATGGTACACACTTTATTGTTTTGATTTAAATCTTCTTTAATTCGATATTTGTATGAATTTTAAAAGTTGAAAAAAAATCGGTGCATAATATATGTATATATAGACAATGTATGTAAAAAAAAAAATTGAGCTCCAATGCTATATAAGAGTGTGAACTAGATATTTTCTAACATACGTATTATAAAAATTGGTGATCCGATTATTTAAATTTCTACTGTAATCTGGACACCTGGATTTCTTTACCAATTGCGTTAATACATATAGTCGTTGTGGCGCACAAATCTAGATATGTAATTTATATATGCTAAGAATTCTCTGTTCTAGTTTCATCGTTTATAAAGTTTACTAGGTGAAAACATTTTCTGCATGATAGAAAATCTAGAAGTACTATTATGAAGTATTTCATGATAGTTTATTGCGTTAATGTAACCGCGTTTTGTTTCATCTTTCATCATTTGTAAAGTTTGACCAGAAATAGTAAGATGATATAACTGGTTTTCCAAGTTGTTAATTTCTTCCGGAGAAATCGGAGTTAGAGATGAATTGTCAGTTACAATCGCATCTTTTATGGTTTCCATTTTTTCAACATATTCTCTCCTTGAAGTTTCAAGTTCATTAAGTACATCATTATTGTAAGTCGTTGGATTGGCACCCTTTTTAATTTTTTCTTCATTTATGAAATGATCCAAATAGTCGATGTATGCATCATTAAAGGGAGCTATCGCATTTTGCCTTAGGAATAATGCAAATGTTATCATAATATTATTTATAATCCTTTTCTCTTCTTTCAGTTGACTGATCCTATTTTCTAGATCAATTATATACTCCTCCTTTATAATTTGGTCGGATTGCTTCTCGTTGATTAAAAGTTTTATATTCTCATCAACTTTATCTACAGACACTTGCTCATTTTCATAAGTAATATGCATATGATTGTTCCAAGAACAACCACATACTTGACAATTATTTGTTCTTCTCATAGCTCTGCAACCTAAAAGGGCCTTATTGTTTATAACATTAAATTCAACACCTTGTAAATAACACCGTTTATGACAATGAGTTACATAGTCAATTTTTTGCATTTTTGTTTCACCGACAGTTAAAACTTTAACACAAGAAGCACTTGTACACACGGTTCTTGGATAATTTAACTGAATTAGTCTAAGATCGATTTGCGGGATGTATAATTTGTCTTTAAGATCTGCAATGACAGAATCACACCGTTTTATCTCTTCCTTTTTTTCATCGGCTAGAGCAATATTTATTTGAATATTTTGACAAACTTCAGCAAGAGGTTTTGAAAGATCCATCACAATTTGTCTTGCATTGTTAAGTGATATAGTGTCCTTTATATTATGAGGGGTACAAGATTTAAAATATTGAATAAGTCTATCAGACGCATCAGCAGATACTTTCCAGCTTTCTGCATAAATTTTTTTAATAGTTTCTTCAAATGTTATACGTTGTTTAAATGCAGCTAGAAATTTAAATGCTTCATTATCAAAACAGTATAATGTACTTTGATCTGTTTTGATTCCAACATCAGTTTTCAATAATTGTTCATTTAGTGCAGGTAATGTATCTCCCGGACCATAAAATGTTCCTCTACAATTAGTGAAACAGAAAACAATATTGTTTCTAGTATCCTTATGCAGATGTGATAATAATTCTTGTATACAGAATCTAAACATTATGGTTAATCGAGTGCTGTTTGATTTAAGGAAAATGCAGATTCCATTTAAATGATCAAATTGGTTGATATATTTTAGAATATTCTCGAAATTTTTTTCATCAGAGCTTAATCCTTTAGTATCTCCTATTCCAGGGGTATCAATAAATCTTACTTCTGTATTATCATCCATTCTGAATTTGTAACTTCTACAGCCTTGAGTACAGGACATTCCTTTGTTTGTAACTAATTCATTTTCATCAGTTTGGCCTACGACAACAGTTTTCTGTTCAGAGTATGCATCCATTATTGTGAACATGGATGGGATTAGTGTATCCATCTTCCCACGCACTGCTTCATCTAAGTTTTTAAACTTTATATAGTTTGCAAATGCGTTTATAAAAGTAGACTTTCCTACTCCAGTTTCTCCCAGCAATAATATATTTAATTCAGTAACTACATGAAAATAATGATATTTATTATAGGTAATACACTTATTTGTTATTACACTGATTTGTTATTTAATTATCCTTACTCACCTCCGGGTTTTACATGTTCTGGATGATCTGCATTCATTAAATCATAGCATGAAGTACAGATGCGATGTGAAGATTTTCCAGTTTTTCCGTTTCCGGATTGGGTAACTATTTGATCACGTGATATCGTACGTTCTTTAGAACACTCATAACATACTAATTGACCACATCGCCTAATTTCATTTTAAATAAATAAATTTAGTTATGTAAAAACTTGAATAGCATTAATTAGTAATGCTGTACTGTGTATACCAACCTGCAATGATGCCTTCTTCTAAGCAATGCATTAAATGGCTTTTGGCACCTACGACATTCTTTCGCGTCTTCATCATTCTCCCATTTTCCTATACAAAAGTTAAACAGTTATATAAATTTCCTATATGAAAGAAAAAAAAATTTAAATCTTAAAATATTTTTTACCTTCAAAACTTTCAGTTGATGAAATATCATGAATATTTTCAGCAGGTTCAATAATTTCAGTTGATGAAAGATCATGAATATTTTCAACGGTTTCAATATTTTCAGCAGGTTCAATAATTTCAGTTGATGAAATATCATGAATATTTTCAACAGTTCCAATAATTTCAGTTGATGAAATATCATGAATATTTTCAACGGTTTCAATATTTTCAGTTAAAGTGGATTGAAAAATTTCATGTGGCTCATGAACACTGATGAATTCAATAGACGTTTCATATGGTTCGTGAACACTGATGAATTCAATAGATGTTTCATCAGAAGCACTTTCCAACTGATTTGAATATTCTGCTATTAATGCAAACAAGTTTCATAGTATTAATATAATACGTTGCATGTTATATTAAAGAAAATTTTAACTTATCAAGACATATTACATACCTCCAGTTATTTGCATGATGATTATGATTCAAAAAAATGATATCGATATAAACTTTTAGAATGGATCTAAGTACATTAACTCTGCCTTTTATAACTTTTTAGAACGAAGTTTAAATAATTTTATTTTTTGAACAAAGTCATTTTGTATAACTGTTTAATGTGAAATCTAGATGACGTTTTTATCAAATATTGACATGCATGATGATACAACTCTAAATTTAAACGTCAAACAAAGATACAAATTTTATGAAACAAGTTATAATTGTAATGGTCGCTTACGAAAAGCGGCGTTCAAATTTGCATACATGCATGAAAAAATAAACGCAGTGGCACATGAGTGACTGTTATGTATCACACGCTCAATATAGTGAAGTTTTTTCCGTACTATCTCCGTGATAACTCCGTGATATTTTGCACAAATCTCATACCCAAAATCATAAAGGAGGTTTCAGATAGCTCCGTATATTGCATATATTACGCAGAGCCAATTGGCGTACATCAACGTAAGTAACAAATTATATATGTATTTTGGTGGACTGATTTTCAAAGTTTGTTAAAAACATTACGTATAAGGGTATAAAATATAGTCGAGTATGATCTTTAGTCATTTATTAGTGTGACTAATATGCTTTGTTTTAAGAACACAATGGAATATTCTGCTATGTAGATCAATTCTATAGATAGCAATAGTAATTCATGCATCTAATACCAAGATTTTCTATAACGGTAACATGAATGCGGAGAAATCGTGAGAAATTGTCAATGTTAATAAATTAGAATAAACAGACACAAGATGATTATCTCTTTATAATAATTCATATTGATAACCAAAGTTGGAAAAAAAGTGATTGTTTAAATATCGGACCATCCTTATTTCAGTATTTAATCACAATCTCTAAGATCAACAATTGTAATTTGAATTTCGAATCTTACCGATTTTGATAATGATGTATTCATTCTAATGGCATTTTCTATCTTTACCGACTTTTATAAATAAATATCTCTTTTCAGCATAATGATAAAAAAAAAACTAGATCATGCATATTTGGTGACTTTATCACATATATAGCAATAAGTTTCACTGCTGTAAACCGTGCGAGAAATTTAGAAATTAATACAAATGAAATAAACAAAGGTAATGTATCATGTATCTGTAAATACTTAAATATATTAAAGTAAAATTGTAAAGATTCAGATTCAGGTTAACGTTAACGACACAGTAATTGTTGTTGCCATTTTTAGATCCAATGAATAAGCTTGTCATACAAATACGTAGAAAATTATTCATTAACTCAAAATTAATCATCATATCGATATAAATTACTATATTTATCAGTAAAATAAAAATGGCCTAGACCGAAGAAATGCAATCTTTACGCAGTCTTTACTAAGTATATGTTATCCAAAGGAACTACAAACGGTGCAATAATACACCTGATTTCTGTGGCGTGTTAAAAAGTTCCAGATTTGGATTAGTTAAATGGTTGTCTTATTATCATGGAGGACCAATTAAAAATGCTAGTTTCAATACCCGGAAATTCGTAGTGCAGTGCATAAAAATTTATATTGATCAAATATTGTTACACATGCTTTTACTTTAGGAAATTTTAATCTAAGTAAGACGTACTGAAATTTCTATAATCAAATCTATCCGGAATTTTGAACACCTAACTTTCATATAAACGTTTGTGATTAAGTTGGATCAGGTGTTTCACCAACTTTTATTAGATGTGTTTTGACAACATCAATACATAGTACGATATTATAACTATGAATCTTTTAGTTTTTAAACGAAATAACTGCATAGTAAAAATAAAATTTCTTTTTGAATAGATGTTTCAAACTTCGCGTGAGCAATATAAAATGACTAAGAAATTAAGGAATTACGAGTATTAGTGATAACGTGGGTTAATATTTAATTTTGGCTAATTTCGTAGTGCTAACGTAACTGCATTGCGTAAATATCCTTTAGGGGAATTACGAAGGACCGGTTCTTATTGTAACAAATGTTCTTAGTTAATAACATATCATAGTAGTATCGTGTTGTTAATCATCTTCATGGTGTTAGTACTTGAATGATATGTCAATGGAAGAGAGAAGGAATTACTGACTAGAATTAGACCAAAACATTAAGTGGATTGGCATGAAAAACCTGAGTAATACATGGTCTTGCTCTCCAAAGTATAATGACAAAAATCAAATACCTGCTGAGATGGGTGGTGCTAAAAAGAATAAAACCAAAAAGACTATTCATTATCATGTATAAGTAAAAATAGCATAGCGAGCTTTAATTGGTCAATCACTAAATGCATATACAATCTGACTTTAAGCGAATTGGCAAAGGATGAGACATATAAATTCTGAAGCTACATCTTTCATTATACTACAGCAGAGACATTGCCCGATCCAAAGTGAATCCCTCTCGTCTGTGATCAATCACATTAATTATTTACGGTGGATTCAATTGTGATGGATATAATCCCTCACCACTTTTAAATATGTGTAACATTAACGGTCTCTGCTGTATCATTCTACCTACAATAAAAATAATTCGAAAAACGGAGGAATAATTCAGAAGTTAGCGACGGGGTGCACTTTTGGTCTTATAGGTTAAGATAATTCAGTAATCGCCAAGGTAATTCGTACCTTGACTAATAAGTACTAAGCTTTGTTTAAAACCTTGAAAATAGCGATTCAAACAATAATGCTTACAGTTGGTTTTTTTCCTGAATATAGGTTATTCGACTAAGTTTTAAAGCTACAATATATTAAATGTAGAGCATACGCAGGACATGTATTATACGATTACATGCATTGTTCTGTAGTTAATATTTGTTTTTTTGTTTTTTTTTTATCTATACTCTCCATATGCATGTATGGCTATTGATAGTTGCTATTTTTTTGACTCATTTATGTTATTCATTATTTATCTTGTTAGAAACTATTTATTAGTTAGTAAGTGATTTGGTTAATAAAATTATTTACATATATAATTAAGTTTAAAAACATTAGTTTTTTTTTATTGAGCTTAATCAGATACACATTTACAATGGCTATCAGGATTAATATATTGTTTTTATGAAAAACATAATTAATAGATAAACAGATATTAGAATTGGAATGTAGTTGGTCAAATAGTTTATATAAATAAGAATAAGTATAATTTTTATATTAGAATTTCTTCTGTTCTTTAATTTGATTGAATTAAAAGATACTTTAAGCCTTTGTTACTGTTTTCAGTTAGTAAAATTTATACAATAAAGTTTTTATATTTGTTTGTAAGAGAGTTTATTAACTTTAAGTAGAATAGCAATAATTGTTTGTAAATTTAGTTTGTATGAAATATTAAAAGTTTATACAGTATTGATAAAAGATTTAGAAATAAGTTCTTTAAGTAAAATATCAAGAGAGTATAAATTTGTTTGAAGAGATATATAATAAAATGCATAATTATTACTAATTTTGTGAATAAGTTTTTCTTGTTATTTTATAAGATCTGCTTTGTTAATATATTTAGTTATACTAGTTTAAATAATATTGAAAATAAGTAGTAGATTTAAGCATATATGCCAATAAGTTGAAGAGTTAGATAAGTTACAGTAAAAGCAGTTATTATTATAGAATATATATAAATATATTTAATAAAAATAAAAATAAATAGAAAGTTTATTTAATAAAATTTTAACTTTAAATAATTTAAGATAATTAAGTTTAAAGGTTGTAAAATTATATGTTGTTTTTTGGTTGTACTTAAAGTATAACCAGATTAATCTTTAATCAATTTAAAAGACCAAAAAATCTTATTTCATAGTATATTTTTTAAAAAACTACATTAAAATATAAGCTCTGCAAATATTTTTAATAAAACTTTTTAATAAAACATTGATTCTAAAAGATTATATAATATATATTATAGATGCTTATATAGTTAAAATATAATAGAAATAATGAATTATATTATTTGATTAATAAATTAGCTAAATTATTAAGAGTATTATTAGAATAAACTTGTACTTTGTAAAAATTAATCTGGTGTTATAAAATTTGATAATATTAAGCAAATTATGCTATATAGTCTATAAGCTAAATTTGAAAAAATTGTTATAATTTAAGAAGTAGTATATATTTTAAAATATTTGATAATTATAAACTGAGAGTTTAAGAAAAATTAATTATTGAGTTTTAGAGAATAATAGAAATAGCTAAAAGAATTAATATTAGTTCAGCTTTATAAAAAGATAACTAAAAATAGATTTTAGCTAAAAATTTATAAATAATTTAGTTAATATTATTAACTTTTATTTATATAATATTTATTATACATTGATCTGTATTAATGTCAATTACTGAGTCATTAGTATAGAAATTAAATATATGTTAGGTTGCATTGGTAAGAGAGTATTGTTCAAGTGTATATGTAATATTTTTATATTTAAAGTTTCAGATATAAGAGAACCAGAAATATAAATAGTAGAAGTGAAAGATAAAGATATAGAATATTTAATTGTAATTAAATAAATAAAATGATTGATTAGGGTGTAGCAACCTAGTGAAGTGGTCAAATTGTCAACCCTTCAAGTGGTAGATTGGATGTCAAATCCTATTGACAGTGAAAATTTGTATAATCACCTATGTAATATTCATATTACAGCAACTGTTACTAACAATTGGATTAGGATACCTGTAATGGTAGTCATACCAGCATGACTGATAGGTTATAGAGCATTCATGTAATAGGTCATATGACATTTTTGGAACAAGGTCTGTAGTTACATGAAGGAAAGCAAACCGTCAATTGGAAGTGCAAACACGAGATAAGTCCTTGTAGCTATGTAAATCTGTTGAAATTGGATAACAAAAAGTCTATTTGGGAAGACCCAAATAGAGAGGTAGCCAGATCTTCGATAACCCTATTGTAAAGGCTAGCCTTATAAATGGATACCAAGGTCAAAGTAGCTGGACAGACAAAAACCTCTAGATAGAGTGTACTACTAACCAGACTGCCAAATTAAGCTA